TCTCCCTGTTTTTAATTGATATTTGCATTAGAATAGGACAGTTACTACTCACATCACCATTCCTGTCTCCTTAATGTGTCTGGTCAGTAAGGATGAGAGCTCTGGCACTTTGCATGACCCTGCACTTGAAATCTTTCATCTGTGCCATGTGTAATGTGCACATGCCCATGAGAATTGATAGCTCACTCAACTCATTCAGTTGATAGCTCATTCAAAGCAAGGCAGGAATTCAAAGAATAATCAGTAGGTGATAGCTGTTACATGTACAGGGTACCTGGATCCTGATTGTCTGACCTTCTTTTCCCTTCAGTTCTTCAGAAAAAGTGTGAGCTCCTTGCAAAGGTTTTCCCTGGTCATGGTGATTCTTGCATTTTATTGAATTTACCTGCACACAACATATTCATGCCTAAGGGTCTCTTCTGAGGGAGACCTGCTGCTGTCACCAGTGACAAGCAGCATTCCTGGAAAAGCCTCTGATCTGGATCATGCCTTGTTTCCCACAGTCTTGACCATGTAGATTTCTGTTTAGGATCAAAGTCTCTCATTTAAATAATCTTTGGTTTCTTTAAAGACCTTGCTACCATGGAAGAAAGAATCCTGAAACGCTACTACAAAAAGGTCACGGAGTTTGTGGCAGACATGACCAAAATTTTTGATAACTGCCGTTACTACAATCCAAGTGACTCCCCTTTTTACCAGTGTGCAGAAGTTCTCGAGTCTTTCTTTGTACAGAAACTGAAAGGATTTAAGGCAAGCAGGTAAGCTGGAGTGTTCCTAACCACAGGTGTTGTGTTGGCCCCTGAAATCTCCTTTCTAAGGTCATCTTGTGTTTGCACAGGGTTTTGCTGCTCCATGCACTTTCCTGGAAAATTTTGTCAAAATTAAGGCTTAAATATGATTTTGTGAAGGCTACTTTGGAATGTTTATTCAAAAGGAGCTGTTAAAAATTTGGCTGGTATCATGAATTTGCAAAATTTGAGTGATACTTCAACTTGTTGCTGCAGAAAACTTAGTAATTTCTGATCAGGGCAAATACTGTGTCTGAGTTGTGCTGATGTTCTACTCTGCAGTAAATACTTCTCATGCTAGTAAGAGACAATCCTGCTGTGAAGCTTATAATCCAATGAAAGAAATTAAAATACTTCAGTGTTACTCCTCTCATCTTTTTATCATTTATCACCTTTGAAACAGGGGAGTAAGTTAGGTTTGAAGTAGGGTACAAAAAATGAAACCTAATTCAAAATTTACCTTTCAAAATTAAACTTTTTTTTTTTTTCCTGAAGAAGGGCTGATGTAAAGTGTTTCCCTTACATAGACATTCCTGAAAAAGAATATGCATTTTTCTTTCCAGTTCAATGCTGTAAGAATGATTTTTGTCAGGTAGTTTTCAACCCATGTTTGTGTCACTGCCATTAGCTGGGTCCCCAGCACTCCCTGTGCTTGCACACTGATTTCACTGCTGCATCTTTTTTGTTCTTGTTTTTCATTTATACCATCCATCTTTTCTTTTCTTGCAGATTGTGATATCTTTAGTCTGAACTTTTTAACTGGAATCAGAACTGGATGTTGGGGTCACTTTCTTTTACTGTACAATCCAATTACATTAAACTGCCCTAAAAATCCAGATCATTTGTCTAAAAAGTAAATGTTGTTTCTGTTGCCAGCAGTCATACTGGTGAACATAATTGTATTAACAAAAAAATTGTTCTGTTCCTCAAATACTGTATTGAGAAATATGAAAAATTCATCGTGGAAACCTTGTATTTTATTGTTTTAGTTTAAGTCACTAATAAAACTGTGAATGTCAAAGAGGAGTTTCACTGAACTCTGCTTAGAAAAATGTGATTTTAACATGCCTGTTCAGTTTTTTTTTTCCTATTAAGTTAATCCAAAGACTTATTGAATAAATTTAAGCAAAGTAGACCTTATTATAAATATTAAAAACGAAAAAATGTCTTTTTGCTTTCTATTTGATGGACTACTATTATGTAAATATGTGAGTAAAAATGGTTTCAGGCATTTTGGAATATCCCAGTGACACACTGCATTTTACAAGTACTGAAATAGTTCTATTCTGGAGGAGAAAATGGGCTTAAAATTCAGAGCAGGAAATATTATTTTTTCTAAAGGGGAAAAAAATAAATGAAAGCAACATGGTGATAATTCCCTTATTGTGATTTATTTTTGGCTACACCTTGCAGCAACTGTGTTCTCCAAACTAAAGGGTGCTTAATTCTTCACTTTCTTCTGTACTCTGCAGGTCCCATAACAACAAACTGCAGTCTACAGCTTCTTAGAGTTCAGCGTGTTAACCAAACACACGAGCAAGGATCTGGTTGTCTGACAATTTTTAATTAAGGAGCCAGATGTTTTTAGTCAGGTTATCCTGACAAGACTTGATGTAAACTGCGTTTTTATTGGTCACAACAGTCAGATTATATTCTTGGCTTATTTTGTCCAAAGGACAAAGAAATAAAAATCAGCAGCACCACTTTCTTGTCAAGATCAAATTGTTGTACTATTGTGGCAGAAGCAGGAAAACTTTGTTTTGTTGAAGGAGAGAGAGAAAGAGAGCAAGAAAAAAGATACAGTAAATGGGGTCACGTTTAACTCCATGGAAATGCCACGTCTGTTCTTCAGTGAAGAAGCTGGTTTAAAGTCCACACAGAAAACTTTGACTGTATTTATTTATTGTTGCAAAAAAGACGCTTTTTTATTGCTGCCCTCATTTGTCAGCTAATTATTTTTTCTTATAAAATCCAGCCCTGGTTCCATGTAATCCATTCTGTATCTTAACATGATTCCTGTAGGTAAAAGTACAAGAAGACCTCTAGATGTCTTTTCTTTCTATGAAAGGAGCTGCTATGTACACATGTGCACACACACAGGACTGGGAATCAACAAGGAGTTTATCATTCATGGTAGATAAAAACAAGCTTGCATAAAATTTGGGCTGAGTGGTCATGGACTACAGACTCTGTTGCCTTGAATATAACAAACAGTACAATTTGTCATTTACTCTGCACCAGACTGAACTGAGTAAAATCTATTTGAAGGTATCTTGTTTGTAAACATTTGTCAGATTCTAATTTTTTTTTCTTTTGTATTAAAATTCAAAATATGGATGTATATGAAACAAAATAAATGGAGATCATTGTTCTCCCCACAGCAGTAGGTGTGTTTGAGTGTGCGCTGCCACGTGTGTGAGACACTTTGGGGATCTGTGCAGGAGTGTAGGGATTGCAGGAGCAGGGGTGGGAATGGCCAGGGAGTGGGCCCCATCCCCACCAGACATTCCACAGGTGCCTGAAGGACTGGCCAGCTGGGACAGGGCAGGAGCTGGTGGTGGTTCCAGCCCTGTTAGCCTGGTCAGACATTCCCACAGGGCAGGAGCTGTTGGTGAGGTGTTCCTGCCCACTGGAGCTCAGTGACCTTTGCCAGGTGCTCTGGGAATGGGGAGTAGCACCTGTGATTGTGTCCCTGGGGGGCTCCTGCGCTGCCCTGAGGGCTGAACTGGAGCCCAAGAAGATGCAAATTGCAGATGAGGAGGCTTTTCCTTTCCTGGGTGTGACTGACTTGCTCTGGTACCTGTCTGTGGTTCCCAGCCCTGGTTTCTCTGCAGTTCCTCACCCACCTGACCAGCTTTTGCACTAACTCACAGTCAGCTTCTGTTCTACAGTGGTCTGGGATTTACCTGATTTATGGATAAGCTCCTTTTGGGTTTAACCTCACACCTTGCTATGCAAGAACCTCCTCTGTTATTTTTCTTAAAAAAGATGTTGCTACTGACCACCCTTTCTTACACTTCCAGCTCAGGTGTTCAGGTTCTTCTGGGGGGGATTTTATCTACTAAAAACCCGTGTGTTTTTGTACATGCAAATGTTGTCGTTTAACCAATCTGTGCAAATTACTAATTGTTCAGTGTGGAAACAATAATCCATTTATGCTTCTGAAAGTCAAAGAAGAGTAGTTGCATTTAGGTTATGTTGTCCTTTGATGTTTTTAAAAAATGCTGCATATTGTAAGCATTGTGTTTTAATGGGACAAGGAAAAATCTCACCTTTAGCAGCACTGGGACATATCCTGCATCTCATCCCAACTTCTCAGCATTTCTGTACTATTTATTCATACCTAAATCCATATTGACATGGTTTAAACCTTTCCTACCTGTAGGCAATAGATTGCTGTTTTTAACAAATTGTGGCAAACTGAAGAGTACTTTTTTGTACCTTATAGGACACATCATCCTAGACAAATAAAGTAATGTGTTTGACATGGATTTGGTGGTGTTTCTAATGAAACATTGATAATGTTATTGGATATAGGTCTTGGTTGATTAGGGAGATAATCCATACATGCAATTTAGTGCTGCTGATTAATCACCCAACCCACACCATTCTGTGATTCCATGGGAGCCTGTTTCAGTGTGTTCAGTTGCCATTGGGCAGGTCAAGGTACTTCTCTGGATTTACTAGTGGTGATGTTTTATAGTTAAATGGTGTTACAGAAAATAAATCACTTGTAATTAATCCCCTCCTGCCATCAAGCATAAAGGTCATAACATTTGTGATCTCTGCTCAGTCCTTGTGTTCTTTGTATTTTATAAATTATTGCAACAGTTGTTTTGAAATGGTCATATGTTGTAAGATATTGATGATGTGAACTGTGCCAGCTTGATTTTTCCTTTTCTGTCTCCTCAAATTTGAAGTAATTATCCTCTATCTCAGTTTAGTTAATGCAGAAGTTAATGGAGATTTAAAGTACAGTAAGAAGTTGGTCTTACCCAAAAGTCTCAAGTAAACTCCTGGACAGGCAGGGTGAGAGCAGTTATTCCTTTACACCCAGATTTCTGGTTGGTGGCAGCAGAATTTTCCATACTTACCCTGCTGGAAAGGAAATTAGTGACTGTGAGGTCCCAAAATTACCATGGCAGCTGTTGAACATGAGTGCCATTGATGCCATCCCGTTCCCAGGATGGTTATTGCTGGGAGGGTTTTGGAATAGCAAGTGCAAGACCTGGTCTGGGAATTGTTGTTCAGGAGGTGTGTTTAGTATGTGGTGAGCCTGGTGGCAACAGTCCTGCTCCTGCTCCAGCCCTGTCTCAGTGGGACTGTGACACACAGGGATTTGTTGCTCAGCTGCTGTGGGAACATTTTAAGGAGGGACCTTCCAATGAAGAAGGGAAAGGTAAGAGGACTTGGTAACACAGGGAGAGAAGGTGGGATAAATCACTTTACAGGCTCCCAGAGCAACATCTGTATCCCAGTGTTTTGTGTCAGTTATGGGCACTGAACTGAGGCTTGGGATGTCCTTAGCACTGTGTTTGCCCTTTCCCAGAGCCAGGCCCAGGGAGGCACAGGTTGGTTTGTGCCCGCGCCGCCCTGGGCTGCAGCAGGATAACAGGAGTGGGGCTCTGCTGCTGCTCTGGCGGGGGATGCCTGGAGGAGTTGCTGCTTAATCCCTGGACTTCCCCTGAAAATAGAAACAAAGAAACTCGAGATGCACTGTAACCCTTCCTCCTTCTGTCCCTCCCAGTCACTCCAGAGCTTTGATTCATTGCCAGAACAGTCCTCCTGCCAAATCAAAACCCCCTCCGATTTTCTCAGGAAAATTCCATCAATCCATGCTGTGTTCCATGCAAAGTCTTTCACATACCAAAAGGGAGACATGGTATTTCTTAGGTAGACTCATGCTGTGAGTAAATTTCTATCCTCCAGTAAGAGCCTTTGGGTCCCAAATAGGGGATTTGCTCTTGGTATTTGGCTCCATGTCAGGAAATACTTGATGCAGTGTAGCCCAAACCATCCCCTGCTCCGTGGCTTTCCAGTGACACCAAATGAAGCTGCAGAGGTGTGTGACAAGTACAGTGTGTCAGAAACCCAGTTCCAAAACAAAATGCTTCTATAGAAGCCACTGCTTCCTGCAGCAGGTCTCATCATATCGCTGAGTATGTGGGGTTTTAAGCTATACTGCATTTTTTACATTTCTTAATATAAATACGTATCAAATCCTCAGCCAACTTGTCACACAAGGAGATGCCTTTGTGCAACATCATTATGTAAGTTTTTTGGGTCTTCCAGAACCCAGGAGACAGTGAAAGAAGAACCTCATGAGCATTTTATTAGTTTCCTGTACAGACTTATTATTTGTGAATACTAACTGGGAACAACAAACATCTCAATTTCACCACACTAAAGGTAATAAAATATTGTCTTTTTGATTTAAAAAGTGACTTTACTCTTGTGCAAGTACAAGCTTGGCAATATTTCTCCTGGGGAATGGCATTCAGCACAGCTCTGGGACGAAGTGCCCTGGCACACCCATTTGTGCAGCTCGTGCTCATTTTGCATTCCCTGCACCATCACTTGTAAATGCAACCAGGCATTTGTGTTTTGCAGTTCTTGATTTGCTTTCAGTCAGTGCTCATATACTCAAATTATTACACTCTATTCTGTATGCTTTGTGTGAACATCCAGCTCTGCTGGAAGAATGGTGTAATTTTCAGAAATACTATGGACATGGTTGATGAGACAAAAATAATACAAATGGTACTCAGTGGTATTGGTTTCTCTGAAATCAAATGCATTAAGCAGAACTGTGAAAGCACAGTGAACATCCTGTGTAGATAAAGTTGTGGTATCATCTAATGTGTTCAAGGTGAAGGGTTCAAAGTGCAGTTGTTGTGTACTGATGAAAAAACTGCCAGAATTTTGCATTACAGTTACTACAGATTATTCAGGGCACACTGCAGCAGGGGAAGCAACAATAACCTGTGGCTCTGAAAGCAGCTGGAGCAAATTCCCGGCCGGTTAACATTCCCTAGAGTGACTTCTGCGCTGAGCCTCGCCGGGGTGCCTGCTCGAGGCTCCCAGTGTCGGCTGCAGCACAAAGGCAGTGTTGGACCGCGGGTCCGGGCGGGAGCGCTGCCCGCGGCCAGGCGCGCTCCGACGGTGGATCCCGCTGCTCCCACGTCCTGGACGGAGCCCCCGGAGCCTTAAGGACACTTGGAGCGCGCTGCCCTCACCCTGAGATCCCTTTTCCTGTTGAATCTCCTCACGTAGCCGCTGCCGCTGCCGACCCAGCCGTCCCCCGGGCGCAGCCGCCCGCGCAGGGCCGGCAGCAGCTCGGCGGGCACCTGGCGGCGCTTGTGGTGGATGTGCCCCATCACGATGTACCGGCTGCCTGCAACGACAGGAACGAAACCGACAGGGCTGCTGAGCCTCGGGGAGTCAGTGCGGTCGCTCCGAGGGCACCAGCCCCGGGAACAGACGCGAAGTTGTGCCTGTGGAAACATCCTGGACACGGGGCACCCTGAGCTCCGCTGGGACCTGGGGTGGGGCTGGCAGGGAAATGGTGATTTACTGTTGAGGGAAGTGCTGGTATTTTATAAACTTGCACTTAAAACTGTTATAGATGGATAATGAGATGATTTGCTCTCGCAATTAAGGGATAACTATTGTGTGGATATTAAGAAAGGCTTTAGTGATGTATAGTTATGTTGTTGCAGTTTTGGTGTCCTCTGTTCTCCCCATTGTCCCCTTTCCCCCCACCCCCCGTAGTGTTGCCATCAGACAGCCAGGGTGGTCCAGGACAGGGAGAAGAAGCTGTGCACGTGTGTCCCTTGCATGGGGCAGGGGGGAATGGAAAAGCTTGGTGCTTAGGGTGAGGCATGGCAACACCTGATCTCCAATCAAGTTACAAGGAAGCAGCCTCCACCAATAAATGGCAAAGAAGAGCTGACTGACAGACTGTGAGAATGGCTGGGGCTGGCTGATGAAACCCCCCAGGGTGTAAAAGACTGAGCATCCATCTTGAAGATGAGCCAGCCACATGGTATCCAACTCGGGCAGTTCCCAGTGCTGCGAATTTTCCCTTATATAGTCCTTTTGTTGTATTTTTGTCAAGGTTTAATAAACCTTTTTAAGTTTTCAGAGTGATTAGTTGTTTCTCACACAAGGAAAATGGAATGACTTACAAAAACACCAGCTTAAGCTCTTGCTTGTATTGTTTTAGGAACCCTGAAAAACTTGCCATCATTTTGGAACTGGACAGAATTAAGAAAGGGCTGCACTGGTACCTGACTTCTTAATGCAGCTGGTTCTCTTGCAAAAGTTTTGAGAAACTTGGATGGAAAAAAGGCCTCAACTTTGAGTAAACACTTTTCTTCCAAATTTTCCCAACAACCCAGGCTAAGCCTATTAAAGTAGGGCAGACTGAGATTGCAGTGCATGCAGAGAAATAGCAGAATGGATTTAGCTGGAATGATTTACCAAGTTTAAAGTCTGGACATGGTTTACTGCAGTTCAAAGTATCCACAACCAAGATGTGGACTCGGAAGAAGGCGGCGTCAGGAGTGACATACAGGCGGCTCATCTTGTACAGTCCATCACTGTCCACCAAGAGGGTAATCCACTGCACTCCATTCCCCAGGCTTTCCAGGTTATAAACAATTCCATTCACTGCTGGGTAAAGGGAGAGGGAAAAATAGCATCAGATTTTATATCGTGGCAATTTTCAGGGTATGTCTGAAGGCTGTAATTTGAAATGCTGTAAAGGAAGTGTCAGCAGGAATCCTTTGGCTCCGGAGTGGGCAGCAGGAATTCAAATAATCACATTTGGTGAGGTCATTGCCTAAAGTTTTGCTGCTTTGCAAACCTTGTGCTTTACAGGTTTGAGATGTTTCTTAGGGAAGAAGGCAATGGGTTTAGTACCATTTTCTATCCTGACATATAAAAAGTGAGCATATTTACCTAACAAACTAAAATTTTGAAATTTAAAACTTCCCAATGAAGTACAAAGCCAAGCTGGTAATGAAACACTTTGGCTTTTGAAATAAAAGGCCCTTGTCATACCAAGAGACAGGGGCACAAGTAGGTTGTGTTGGGAGCTCAGACAGTCACTTCATGCTGCTTTCCCAGTTTCTGGCTCTGGCAAATGCTGAGCTGAGTTTTCCCTGCAGGGCTGGGAAAACAGCTGTGTGTCAGTGGGGTTACTGCACCTGGTGTTACACCTGCCTCAGGGGGAGAACTCGGATCCAGTCATTTATTCTTTTATCTGCACTGTAAATATATAAAGAAAGGAAAAGCTCTCTCGGATGGCTGCTGTGGAACCTTGGCTCATCTGTTGCTCAGACTTTTCCTACCTGTCCTTTCACTTTAGGAGCAGAGCTGTTTGTTAAGGGCTAAAGCATACAGAGGTCGGGTTGCTGTGAAGCCCGTGTTGGACAGGAATGTGTGAGAGTGGTAAAACCAAAGCAGGACAGCATTTGTAGAAAGCACTTCCTGACTTCTCCATTTAGAGAAAACAGATGTCTCCTAACGTGTTTATGTTCTACAAATGGAAACATCTGTTACCACTGGGCTTGTATTTTCCTTATCTCTTAAAATACTGTGAGAAAAAGTTGGTATCTGTTTCACAACTGTGTAAGCACAAGGCAGTGTTTCAGTCAGAAAATGCTTGTCCTTAAACAAAGTCTGTACAAAAATACCAGGCTGTTTCCTGCCACCTTTAGTTACATCACTGTGAACACAAGGATTAAAGACACCGAATCCTAAGGAACTTCAAGAAGAATACTCTCTAGAGAGAGGATCACAGCCTTCTTTCTGTTTGGTTCACCATTTTATTTTAATTTCAAACTTCAATCCCCAAAATCAAACTTGCTCTAAGTAGTAATGGATAAATAACCCAGCTCCAATGTTTAATCTGAGAGTATCTAAAACAACTGGTCTTTTCAGTTCCACTGACTAGTCCCAAGGACATTGTTCCTCCAGAGGAAACAGAAAAAAGGGCAGCCCAAGCTAGGGAAAGGGTAATGTAAGTATGTTTGTGAAGAGTTGTGATGGGTCCTTTTTGAATACTTGGTAATTATCTAACATACTTACCACATCTTAATCACAGTATTTTAAAAGCAGCAGTGCAGTATCAGTGACAAGTGGACAGAAGGTGCTCTGTCCTGTGGGCTGAGGGGAGCAGCACCTACCGAACTCGCTGGCACAGAAAGCCTCCCCTTCGTCCCGCTCCTTCCCGCACTCGCTCAGGCACACCTTCTCCTTGTCACCGTCTGCAACAGGGGCACAGCCTGAGGGCAGCAGCGGGCCCGGGGCGCAGCTCGGGGCGCTCCGGCAGCCCGTCCCTTACCTCCCCTCAGCGCGGCCCGGTACCCGGCGCTGGGCGCCCAGCGGTTGGTGACCCACGAGGGTTTGGGGCTCCTCCTGGAGGGGTCGGCCTCTTTGGAGGGCATTCCCTTCCCCGCTCGGTTGGAGTGGTGCGGCGTGTCAGGATCATCGGGCTCCGAGTCTGGGAAAGGATGAGTTTCCAGCAGGGACACCGCCTTTGCGCGGGCCGGGGCGGCTCGCGGGGCCCCCACGCTGTTGGCGGCCCCGGCCCGCCGCCGGCCCGTGCGCGGCCTGTTGGCCCGGCCGGGGTCCGGCGGGCCGGGAGGAGCCCCCGGGGCCGGGCTGCCCAGCGCCCGCAGCGCTCCGTGCTGCCCGAGGTGCTTCCTCGGCCCTGTGCTGTTTTCCAGGGAAGGCTCCGCGCGTTTCTTCTTGTCGGAGGCGAGGGAAGGGAGTCCCGGGGGCCGGGGCTGCTGAGGGGCCGCGGGGGCCATGGCCGGGAGCCGGCCCGCCCTGGCGCTGCCCGGGCCCCGCGCTGCCGCCTTCACCTGAGCTGCGCTGAAAACATCTTTGCTGAGAGCCTGGCCGGGCTTCTCAGCGTACAGCAGGGATCCTACAGGCAAAAAAAGAGAGAAAATCAGTGTTTTAAGTCTTTTATTCCAAGTGCTTCAGAATGGGAAGATTTTGAGGCTCTAATCCATAAGTGAGGCCTTCAACAAAAAACTAGCTCAAATAAATAAATAGCTCAATAGATGAAGCACAGTAGAGCTCCTCGTTCCTCTACTCAGACATTGAAGGTCCAGTACAGGGAATGCAGCTGTATGAACAAAACAGGAGATTTGCATTTTTACTTTATTATTGTTGCAAATTAAAAACAAACCCTTTTCTCAAACCCCTGAATCTCCAGGGAGCATCTGAGGAAACAATGTTCACGTTGCATTTGGGATGCTTGTTTAAGAGACCATGACAGCAGAACTTTTTGGTTTTCCCATGCATGGGATGCCTGTTGACAGTGTCATGCAGACTCTTCAGTGCCTTTGGATGCTACTGGAAGGGTCTTTATCCACAGTTTTGGATCTCTGACTTGAGCATGTAGTAGCAGTAATTAGGCTAGTGCTGCTGAGTAATAATTATTTCAAGGCTTTGCTTAATTTGAGAGGACATTTGAGAAAGAGGAAGTGTCTGGGAATCCAGGGGAAAAAATAACGTAATGGCACTGTTCACACAAGCTGGGCAATCGCCTACACTTTCATTTATAGCTTCACCTTGATCTCTTGAACCTCACAAAGAAAAGTGATCAAAATATTTAGCCAGGCAGGAGAGAAATTTCCCCTGGCAGTCTATTTTCCTTTTCCTTTAGACCTTCCCTGCAGGCTTGGAGTGAGCCAGCAGAGTTTTCACACAGCTCACCCACACACAGCCTCTGTCTGGTGCTCACGGCCGTGGTTATCCTGTGTAGGAGGCTGATCCCAGCTCCTTGTGTGAAGAGATTTGACATACACAGATGAACAAGGTCCTGGTTTATCTCCTATAATTGACTCAACTGCTGACCTTGCCACTTCTCCCCCTGTGCTCTCACCAGCTGCTGTCATGGGAAAGATTCCCTGATATTTGGGCTGGCCACACGTAAAGTCAAAAGAATGTCCATGGAGAGAGGGGTGGAAGAAGTCCAAGCTGCCGAAAGCAGCAGGCAAGGGGGGTTTGGAGATGGTTCAGTGTGAAGCTGTGCCCTCTGAACAGGTGTCTCAGACTTGGGTGTGTAAATAAACTCTTCTACCACTTTATCACGCCTTCTCAGTCACGGATTGTATCAAGAAATAGTTCATTTTTCTCTGCTCAATATGTTCAGGACCTTGAGGTTCCTCCTCCTGTACCAACATATTCCTGTCTAGTTGTTGCAAACTCAGAAATACGACTGCAACATAACCAACACTCAGTGGAACAGATGTAAATGCTATTTCTGTTCTGTCAGTGAGGCACTAAAACCCATACAAATCCATTCAGGACGGCTTGCTGCAAGGCACACAGGGCACACTGAACATGTTAAAGTCAGTCAGACACCTGGAGTTACAGGTGAAGGGGACTAAAAAAGAAAGGTCACATACAAATTATAAAAATCCCAGATGCAGAAGCAAATCCAACTTCACCTGCCACTGGTGGCTGGCAGGACAGAGCAGCACCAGTTCCCTGCCTGCTTCTGCCAGGTGCTCTTAATTCTTCCCAATGCTGGCAAATTAAATATTGCAATCTACATTCCCATCCCACAAACACGGTGAAATGTTTCTTTCTTGAGCCCTTACTTGCTGAAAAGGCTGCAGGCTGGGGGGCAAGGGTTTGTAGGAATGTCCTCAGCCTCCCCTGCTTCCCGAGGCAGACGTGCCCCAGCCCCGTCCGAAGGTAACAGACTTACCAGAAGATGATCTAATGACAAAGCAGAGGAGCCAGAACACTTGGGCTGTCATTTTGAAGTAAAGTTTTTCCAGACTCAAAATGAGCTGGAGTCTTTTATGCCCTTCCCCCGATCCATGCTAATGAGAGGCAGCCTGAGGGGAAACGGGAATCACTGGCTGGACAACCCACTGGAGCAAGACCAAGCTGCTGCCTCCACCAGCCCTGCCTGGAGGAATGTGCTCCTTCCCAAAGGGAACAACCCCCTGGCTGCATCACCTGTGTCCTGGGAATAACACACCCACACGTGGTTCCGGCAGCAGATTTTTATTTTGGGGAGTCTTGCCCTCGTCTGGCATTCTGTAGGGAAAAATCGTAGGGAACAAGCCTGGTTTTGCTGGCTGTGGAGAGCTGTGTTCTGGGGGGGACTGGGAGATGCTGGAATACACCAGAGCCCTGGGATGCAGGGTCTGGAAAGGATGTGCAGGGCAATGGAACATATCCGGGGATTTCTGGCCACCTCCAGTGATACAGCTGCTAATCTCCTCTTTTACTTTCAGGAACCAGTTTCTGTGATTCTTTTCAGACTGAAAAATGCAGTAGTGACTGTCTAGTCCAAGGGAAAGCTCTGCTGATCCCACACAGCTTTATTTTTAAATCTCTCTTTGCCATCATGAAGAACTCTGCAAATTTTCACACACCAAGCCAACCCTGATTTGGATTACTGAATTAAGAAGGCTTATTTCTAAGTGACCTTATTGCTACACAAGATTTCCATTGTGACAGTTTAACTCACCAGCTGCTGCTGGGTGCTGTGGAAGCTGCTCATGACTGTAAGGGACAATCAACAATTTAAAACTCCATAAAGGCACTGAAAGGCTCCTGAAACCCACCCTTGACAGGAAAATCTAACCCTCAGCAATGCCTGTGGCATGGGATTCAGCATTGCTTAGTTTAAGCAGTTTGTTTTGTCTTGCCTTAATTAAACATTTCAATAGGATTCCCAAAAGCTCAGGGCTTTGTCTGCAGCAGCCATGGGTGAAGATACCGAAAGTGCACCAGAATAGCATGGAAAATAAATGACATTTCACCACATCTATTGCTCAAGGAGTTACACTTCTACTGCAGCACTTACTAATCCTTATTTTCCTCTGTTATTTGAAACATTTTAATTCCAGAACTATCCCAAGATAGCTATTACAGGAATAGGAATGTAAACTGAGGATGAGGGAGAGGAGGGCTCCTCCATTGATTTGGTGAGCAGCAGGTACCTGCAGCAAGAAGAAGCTGGAGTGTGAGTGCTAGCACTGGGGAGCGGGGAGGAGGATGGATGGATGGATGGACAGATGGATGTACACACACATGAGCATCCCACAGACCTGTATGCCAAGGATTTTTGTGTTGAATTAGCTGGTGGTGCAATTCAACCCTCATTCATGTAGGGCTGTGTCTGCACGGTTTTCCCAGACTCTGCCTGGGCAGGATCCCCATTAAGAGCACGGTAGTGGTGTTTGGAGCACTCCCAGCATTCCAGCAGCCCCGGGATGCAGTGGAGATGGAAAAGCTTTCCCAGCTGCGCTGGGCAACACAGGGACTGAAACCGCCGTGGCCACCTCCGGGCGTTCCCCGGGACTCCGGGAGGGGAAGGAGGCTAACTCGCAGGATCCCCGCGGAGAGGCTGGCTGCCGCACGCAGGACGCGGTACCTAAGCAGAGATGGGTTCGTGGGCCGGCCCGGCGCAGCTGCGGGTAAAAGAGCGGGACGTCCCGGGCACGACGCGGCCACAAAGAAGCGGCACAAAACGAGCAGGGCACGACCCAGATGGGACTCGAACCCACAATCCCCAGCTCCGGAGGCTGATGCCTTATCCATTAGGCCACTGGGTCACCCAGCATACGCTGCGTGCGCCGCCCAGTAAGAGCCCCGCCCGGCCAGGCCCGGCTCCGCCCCACTGCGGACCGTCACGTTCTCCCCGCTCGCGGCGGGTTGGCTACGCCCCTCCCGCCTCGCACACCATTGGTCGCGGTGACCAATGCCGCCGCCCCGCAGCGCGTGTCCGCGGCCCCGCCCGCGCCTCAGAGCGGGTTCCCGCTCTCGGCGCGAGCGCGTCGCTGTCAGACCCGCGCGCGGCCGCCTGAGGGGACCCGCCCGGGCTGCTGCACTGTCCCGGGGACACCCGGCCACCGCCAAGCACTGTCCCGGGGACACCCGGCCACAGCCAAGCACTGTCCCGGGGACACCCGGCCACCGCCCAGCACTGTCCCGGGGACACACCGCCACCGCGCTGTCCCGCGTCTCTAAACTTCCCCTCACGGGCCCGGTCCTGGCTCCTGTGCTGCGGCCGGTAACACCATCCAGTCCCGGTGGCTCCACACTCGGCCTTCTCAGGGAACACCGCCCCCCCCACCTCCTCAGGGCTCTGTGACCCCTCACGGCCCTTTTGGCCGCCTCACACACGCCTTCTGCTGCCCCACAACCTCACCCGCAGCTTGGCCGCTGTCCTGCCCCAGCTGCCCAGTCTCCCTCCACCTCTCTGTCGCTTCACTGTGCTGGTAAAAGCCTTCGGAGCTGTCACCTCCCTCACAGCCCACACCGCTTGCAGCACCTCGCACACACCCCTTCGGGCATCCCAGGCACTGCCAGCCCTCTCCCTCCCCAACACCCATCCCTGCACCCAGATTTCGCTGCTCCAGACCATGCACTGCCAGCGATTCATGACCCAATGGAACTTCTTCATGCCAGCCTTCCAGTCCTTCAGGAAAGCAGGTGTCTTTCTGCTTTTAAACTGCCTTTTTTTTCTTTGTCAAACTACTCTTGTTTAATATCTCCATTTCTTAGCAATGTACTTTCTCTTCTCTTGGCTTCCCTGCTCTGTTTGTTTTGGTGGATATTTTTTACAAAGCTCAGCGCTGCAAGGCCCAAAACCAGCTATGAGATGTCACTGGTAATTCCTCCTCCTCAGCAAACATCCTCCACACCTCTGTGCACGTACAGATTGACATAAGTGGTTTAATGTGATGGCTTAGCACACAGACATATTGATATGTGTCAGTGCATACCTGACACTTCCCTGTGTTGTACCTTATAGGCGTCTCAAAATGTCAGAGTTGCTGTCAGAGTCATGTTTTCCCTATAGTTCTTTGGTTTGAATGTCTCCTGTGATTTGTATTCCATCCCTCATGAGCAGGCCAAACCATCAGAAACAATCTCATCCCTTTTCAGGCCATGCCACAGGGCAGGAATCCTTCCTTCCCTTTTGTTATTCCACATGATTTGGTTTTCATCTGCCCTGATGGCTGTAGAACTGCTTTCAACTGAGATCTCATAGCTCCTTTTTTTTTGCATTTCTGTGCACCACATTTCTAGGAGACAGTAAGTGAGGCATGGAGCCATGGAATCATGGAATCACAGCATGGTTTGGGTTGGAAGGGACCTTAAAGCTGATCCAGTTCCACCCCCTGGCATGGGCAGAGACCCCTCCATTACCCCAGGTTGCTTGGAGCCCCATCCAGCCTGGCCTTGGACACTTCCAGGGATGGGGCAGCCACAGCTTCTCTGGGAACCTGTGCCAGGGCCTCACCACTCTTACAGGAAAGAATTTTTTCCCAATATCCCATCTAAACCCACTCTCGGTTTGAAGCCATTGCCCCTCATCCTGTCACTACACGCCCTTGTCTCAGGGGAACCCTGCGGTGCCCCGCTGGTTACTGAGGCAGAATCTGCGCTCTGCTTGAGGGAATGGGTGTTTCTGCCCCAAACCGCTCACAGCGAGACCCCTCCGGGGGATACAATTCCCTCACTCCGATCCCCCGCTCCCGTCCCGGGATATCACCGAGCCCGGCCCCGTGCACTACAGCTCCCGGCGTGCCCCGCGCCGCCCCACAGAGGCTTGCTGGCTCTACCTGCGCGAGGCACGCCGGGAGCTGTAGTACCGGACCTTGTGAGTACGTCACGTCCGACCGGCTCTTCCGGGAGGGCATTCCCCGTCATCGCGAGCCGGGCTGCTTTCAAACCGGCCAATCAGAAGGCTGCTTTGGCTCGAACTGGCCAATGGCAGGGCGCGGCCGCGGGAAATTTAAATGCCGCGTGGGGCGGGCGTGGGCAGTGGCAGCGTGCGGCAGCAGCGGAGCGACCGGCGGCGTCTCCGGCCGAGGTGCGGGGGCCGGGACCGGGGTGGCGGGGACGCGGGCCCTGCGCTGCCCTTTTGGAAAGAGCCGTGCTGTGCCTGCAATCCTTCCGGGGCCTCTCTCCGGAGCCTCCCGCGTCTCCGCTGTCTGTACTGGGGCTGACAGGGCTGGTGCTAGCGCGGGTTGTCGCTCTGGAGGGGCTGTGGCCGAAGCGAAGCCGGTTCTTATGCTGGGCATGGCCGAGCTGCGGGGGTTTTCTTCGTTACCCGTGTAGCCGTTGTTATGTGCTGCTGGTTGCACCCGCTCTGCAAACGCCCTCCGGGGTCCTTCCCATTGCGAGAGCTCGCTGTTCTCGTCCAAAAAGGTCGGAGTGGGGCTGGGTGGGATCCTGTGCAGCACAGGTATGTGATAGTGAAAATAGTATTTAACAGCGTGTGTGTATTGTCTGTGGAAAGGAAAATCCATGTTGCTCCTGAAAATAATAACTAATAGTGTTTGGTTTAAAGTATCTTAAAATCGCGTGACCGTGTCTTCTGCTTTTGTGTTGATGCTGGAGCTTGTTGTGGCATCTGGCTGTTTAAAGAGACAGCTGTTGATCAAGTCAGATGTTGTTGTAGTATTAATACAATCAAGTGCCTCATTCTTGAGTATGGATCCAATTTTTAAAATTTAACTTTTGTGAAGTAAACTTGCCTTTATTCTGTTTTCAGGCTTGTTTTTATCTGTCCCGCTCGAAAATCTAACAAGCAAGATGTCTACTAATGAGAATGCCAACACACCATCAGCTCGATTGAACAGGTTCAAGAACAAAGGAAAGGACAGCACAGTGAGTACTCTGGTGCAATTAGTACTTTAGCCAGCCATTGTCTCTTTAAGTTTTGAAAGCCAAGAACTTACTCTGAGTGTTTTTCCTCCAGGAGATGAGAAGGCGGCGCATCGAAGTCAATGTGGAGCTGAGGAAAGCTAAGAAAGATGACCAGATGCTGAAAAGAAGAAATGTGAGCACTTTACCAGACGATGCTACTTCTCCCCTTCAGGAAAACAGAGGCAACCAGGTAAGTGGGTACTTGGAATAGGCACACTTGGAGGGTCTTGCCATCTAAGGTCCTGCAGCCAGGCCAGCATGAATCGCTTCTCAAGGGCAGGACAGCACTACTACATCTGCATCAACAACTTAGGCCTGTACTGTCACCTCTAATGGACAGCACTCTTACACACAACTGAGGATGCCTTAAGATTTAGCTTTCTTATTTTTCAGATTCTGTGCTGCTTTAGTGTATAACTCTGAGCTTTATATTAAGTGTTAGCAAGTTCCCTTCACAGGGTAGGCAGACAAAACAATCCTTTTCCATCCTGTCCTAGGACACCTATTACAACCTCCAGGCCCAAAAAGTATAAACAACAGTGAATTGAAGAGAGAAAAATAAAGGGGATGGAACTTCATAACCTAAAGCTATAATTGGACAATTAACTCCAATATGCAAATGGACCAAAACTTATAAAGCTGTCAGACCTCGTGACCTTTTGTGACCATTTTGGGTTCATCTTTGGTGTAGCCCTTGCCAGGCTCTTGTACTGCCCATGGAGTATCCATTGAGGCCTTTTAATAAATACCTACTTTATTCTTTAACTTTGTCTAGCCTCTGTTCTAAGTCAGCCTTTTGAGAAGAAGGCTTCTTCCAACGTAGTAATTTTTTTAATTCTCTAATTCAGACCTGTGCCCTTGTCTGAGGTGGGAGGACATCACTCCAACATCACTCCTGCTGTGCCATGCCCTGTGCTGAGCTGCTTGGGAGTTCTGCCCCAATGGCTTTCCAGTCATGACATGCCCTGCATTGCAGAGCAAGCAGGAAATTTGTCTTCAGAGCTCATGCAATGCCTGGCCCAACCTGTGGGTTGTGTTGTGGGCACTGCTTCCAGATTTCAGCTCAGGTTTGATGGCTCTCTAATCATGCTACAACACAAAACTTTTTCAGACATCACAGTGTTTTTGTGACTCAGCAGTGAGCTCTGCTCTGTGTGTTGACTAAAAGGGGGAAGGCAGGAAGCAGTGACTCAAATAATTGGGATTTTCTTAGTTTGTCCTTAGAGTTTTAAAACCAATTATAAGGTATTTATTATACCTTGCAATAGAATTCTCAGTCAAACTCTGACATGCTGTCAGCATTATTCTGTAGTGCCCAATCGTGCAGCTTATTATTATAATGCATTTTGAGTCCCATATTGTGGGGAAAGTTCTAGTGCAGGATTTAGATTTGTCTCCAAAGAAACATGCAAGACCTGCATGGTTATGAACTCTTAGGAAAAAAACTCTACATTACCTCTTCCAACACAAAAGGTGAAGCTCAGTGGCTTGATTGAACATGCTTGTCATGTGACTGAACTGTGGCACTAGTCCTTTTTTCCTCTCGTTCCTTCTTATTTTATCCAGCCCTTCTTAAGGACTAGAAGAATTAATCCTCTAACACACAGTGGTTCTGTGTACACATGTTCTGTTTTTTCTCGTCTTCACCTGGATTTTTTTTCTTTTTTTTTTCCAGGGGATGGTTCTACCTACAGAGACCTGGTTATTAAATATGGTGCAATTGAGCCACTGCTGAGTCTCCTTGCTGTTCCTGACCTCTCTTCCCTGGCTGTAAGTGTGCAGGGTGATTCAAGTTACAATTACTAAGTAGAACCTAGCTGGATTATTGCTAACCATTTATTCCAACCTTTGCAGTCTGGATATTTACGCAATGTTACGTGGACCCTCTCAAACCTGTGTCGCAATAAGAATCCTGCACCTCCCATAGAAGCCATCCAGCAGATCCTTCCAACTCTTGTCCGGCTCCTGCACCACGATGACCCTGAGGTGTTGGCAGACACATGCTGGGCAATTTCCTACCTCACAGATGGTTCCAATGACAGGATAGAAGTTGTTGTGAAAACTGGATTGGTGCCACAACTTGTGAGACTCCTGGGATGTAGTGAACTGCCAATAATGGTGAGTGATTGGATATGCAGGCTGCTGTGCAAGTTCTAGCCATGATTCAAATCAAGCAAGTTAGGGAGAGTAGTGTCCATGGAGCTGAATGGCTCTTTTCATACATGAGTCAGGTGCCTGTTCTAATTTTTGTGAAGTGAGACATCAGTTTCTGTCCTGCCTGGGTGCTGTCCCACACGAGGCAGACTGGTGGTGCTGATGACTATCGAGCTGCTTTACATAATCATTGGATTTACTTCACAGGCCAGCACAACAGTCAACATTCACTAAAGCTTGCCTTTCAATTGCTGTTTCAGATCCAAATTCTAGGGACAGTGCTCACAAGTGTGCTCTGTACACACTATAATTAGAGCATAATAAAACTGCATTAGTATTTAGCAGGTAGTTTCCCTAAGCTCTGTCATGGGTGGTTGTTTGCAGACTGGCCTTGGAAGGTGTGCAGTCTCTGCATGCAGACATGAGTGTCTGCCTGTGGAATGCTAACAAGGAGCACAAACCCCTATTATACATAGCAGTCATGCTGTTAACTGGGAAGGTTAGAGTGGGTGGCCATCAAGTATAGCTGTGTTTACTACAATCTAATCCAGTTTTGAACAATTTTCCTAAGTATTCCATTCATCTTTGTTTCAGACTCCTTCACTAAGAGCCATAGGAAATATTGTCACTGGTACTGATGAGCAGACACAGGTTGTTATTGACTCAGGAGCACTGGCTGTCTTCCCAAGTCTCCTTTCTCATCATAAAAACAACATTCAGAAAGAAGCAGCCTGGACGATGTCCAACATCACTGCTGGGCGTCAGGATCAGATCCAGCGAGTTGTAGACCACGGTCTCGTGCCTTATCTCATTGGTGTTCTGAGGAAGGTAAGCAAAGCCTATATTTACGATGTTGAGCCTTTTCCTATTACTTCTCTGTGTTCAAACACTCTGCTTTTACCTTGGCAGGGGGATTTCAAGTCTCAGAAGGAAGCTGTGTGGGCTGTGACAAACTACACAAGCGGTGGAACAATTGACCAGATCGTGTACCTTGTTCAGGCTGGTGTTCTTGAACCCCTACTGAATCTTCTCTCAACTAAAGACAGCAAAACTGTGCTTGTTATCCTGGATGCAGTTTCCAACATCTTCTTGGTATGTGGATGCAGTATACTTGAGTATTGTCCATGTTGTTGCTAATGGCTTTCCAGTAGCTGCTGCTGTATATCTTTCTGGAGGTAATTCCACACTTTTCTGTTGCAGGCTGCTGAGAAGATAAATGAGACTGAAAAGCTTTGCCTCATGATTGAGGAGTGTGGGGGTCTAGACAGAATTGAAGCTCTCCAGTCACATGAAAATGAACAAGTGTACAGGGCCTCATCCTCCATCATTGAGAAATATTTCTCAGCAGAAGTAAGTGGCTTCAGGGGTCTCTTCCACTTTTATTATCTAGTCCAGCACTGACTACTAGAATCAAATGCTACTGCTATTCCAACCTTCTTCTTTTCTTTCCTTCTAGGAAGAGGAAGACCAAAATGTTGTACCAGACTCTACTGCTGACAGCTACACTTTCCAAATCCAGGACAGTACCCCAAATTCTTTCAACTTCTAGGTCTTGCATATACTGCAACCACCTATGAGTGGTTTAGCACACAAATGACTGCCACCTCTTTGTCTTAATAGTTCCTCTTGCCTTTACTGGTTTTTCTGTGTCCTGTAGCACTTTGTCCAACTGAAACATACTTGAACAGTTCAAACTCTACATGTATCTGTGAATTTTTAAATGTAAACCTCATTCTTTGAGATACACTTGTAAATACTTCCTGTTTCTGTCCTTGTTCTGGGGAAAGAGCATGTGAGCAATTCAGGCCTCACACAAAGCATTGAGCCACTGCTCTGCAGGCCTCCCCATAGCCTCTTACCTTCTACATGACCTGTTGCAGTAATAAATACACTGAACAGGCTTTTAAGGAAGACTTACTTGAAGTTCAATAAAGTATTGTCAGTACATCAAATTGAACTGTGTCACTTGTTCTCAAAAGCTGACTGACTGAGTAAGTAAACTTAGTCAAAAATACATAATGGCATGAATGCAGGTCTAAACCATGAGAGATGCAATGCTGGAGATGGTGGATTTAAAGCAGCTTGGTCACCCCAAGCTCTGATTTCTGCATACAGCAACCTTCTCTTACAGGACCAAGGAACTGCTGCTTCTCTCCAGGTACTTCCTGTAGAATCTGATTAATCTTACCCTGTGCATAGCTGAGCTAAACTGGCTTCAGCCTCTTGGAGAACTATTTAAAGACTAGTAGTGCTGCTTAACTGTAAGTAATAGTTTGGAGTAGAGGCAAGTACAGCAGTTAACCAGTTCCATACGTGTTCAGGTATCCTTAAGATAGAGCACAGGAAATGCTTTGAAGCAGTTGCCTGCCCTAGAGAGCAAAAATGAAGGCTTTGTCTTGCAATCAGCTGTCCCTTTATTGCTAAAGTCATTACTTACAGGAACCCATTTTGTCCCTTAAAGGGGTTGTGCAGGGTGGGGTTTGGAGGGGAAACAGTCTTGAGTGGAGAGGAAGAACTGTAGTCCTGTTTTCCAGCTTTTTGGAAAAACTTGGTTTGAGGTACTTAACTTGAACCTCTCAGGAGTAAATGTACTGGAATAAGTATATTGTCTCAGCTTACTGAGTGTCTCTAGCTCCAATGATGGTGTAGGAGAGGTCAGAGTTCAGGGCTAGATGTTCCATAAACATGACTTAATTGGACCACAGTGTGTTACTTTCATTAATAAAATGTAGGGGTGAAATTCTGATATGTAGGCAATTCTCCCAGAGTTCCTATTGGCTTTGTTTCCACCTTTAAGGGTGGAGGGGAATAAAAAACTAAAACAAATACAAAACAAAACCAAAAAAAACACCCCAAACCTTTATTCTGCTAGGTGAACCTGATAGAATCTGGTTTTGTCTCCAGTATTAGTCACCTTTTGTATGCTTCCAAGTTTATTTTGAAGTGCAGATGTGTAGAAAAGTGGATTTGGGTGTAACTCTTTGGCAATCCAGGGAAGATCAGGTGTGCTTCATGAAGAATTCACTCTTGTGTGGTGCTAACAAAGATCTCTTTAAATGTGTTATTGCTAATGTAGATGATGTCACTCTTGCTTTCATTAGTGTGGGGCAGGTCTGCTGCTCCCTATCCCACACTTGCTGGCAAATGGTTCCCTCCCTGACTGGAGGCTGGTGATGACAGCCATCCCTGGGACACTGGAGCTTTGGTGTTGCTGGGTTGTGATAAAGTTACAAAGGGCAGCAGATAATTTGTCTGTATCTATGGTCCTATACATCTTGTTAGCAACAATACTGTTTTGTGCAGAGCAATCTCTGTGAGTCACTGCCATAATGATTGTCCTGCTGGGCTATTGGAGCTGTGGGAGTTGCTGCTTCCAGCTCAGAACATGGTCCTGGTGACACATTGCTGTCACTGATGTACCACCAGGGGTTGAAGATTCTACCTGTCACAAAGGACACTGGCTTGTAAAAACCACACCATCCTGAACTGATTCATTATGACCTTCGTACTTTGGCCTGTACCACTTCAACTGTTTTTCTTTAGCTCCAAAAAAGCTGTAGCATGTACTAAGCCTTTCTGTGGTGTCTCTAAAGAGGCTGATCTGTGCCTGTGGTCCGTTCCCAGCCCTGCCTGCCCCCGGACTGAAGGGAGATCAGTGCCACCACAGGTCCCACAGCTCCCCTGGGCCCGGGGTCTGGTATGGTCATACCTGTGCACAGGGGCAAGGACCAGCCTTGCAGTGCTGGAGCCTTCACCTTCTGGGGGGAAAAACAACCAAACAGGGCATTTATGCACCTGCAGCGAAGCCTCATTGTCCTTTGCTCTATTGCCAAACCTCCACCCCGACATAAAAAGCATCAGTTAGAAAATCATGATTTCCTATGTGCTTGTAGAGAACTGAAAGCATTAACCTGTGTAAGAGCAATTATGCAGAGTCAGCTGTGATGAGCGAGGGGCTCCCTCCCAGCCGCGCTGTGGGGCTTTGCGGGCTCCGCTCCGTGCCGCTCTCGGGCAGCGCGGGGCCGGCACAGGGCGGGGCCGCAGGCGGGGAATCCCGCCGGGAGCGCTCAGGTGCGACCTGCTCCATTTCCGAGTGAAAACCACCGAGTTTCGGGGCACTCCGTGTGGTTACACACAGCATCTCTCTGCTAACTGCCAAGTGTTTAGCTGGGTTAAATATCGAACATAAGGTACAGCCTTTTAAATCCCCTTTAAAATCAAAGTACTCTTACGTCAAAACACAACTCCTTTAATTGCTCTTTAGCATATGCAAGTAATTTGGCTTTTGTGTCTCTGTATATAGTAAATGCAGAACACTTGTTCAATAGTGTTCTCTCTGTTTCTTTTTTTCCTGCATTACTTGTTTCAGATTGATCCAGTATATTGAGCTAATAATAGAACACTGCAAGATCTTTAGATGCCTGACAGCTCAGTGGCTTAATAATTAACTTTCTAGGGCCAGAGACTTTGTTTTTATCCAAAAAAAATGTGCTCAGCCTATCCACCAGTGAACCCTGTTGGCAGCATGTATTTCCACAAACAACGATCTACAATGGTTATGAGTAAGTGACTGGGGTGAGTCACTCCTTATTCTAAGAAAATGCAAACTATTTCTGAGGTTAGGATCACAGTCACCCATGAGGATATGTCTCTAGCTTCAAAAAAGTGGTAGGAGCAAAAAGGAAGAGAAGAATTGTTATTGCTCCTGGTTTTTAGGTTGTTTGGTTTGGTTTTTTGGGGGTGATTTTTTTTTTTTTTTTTTTTTTTTTTTTTTTTTTTTGGTGCATGGCCCAGTCAGATTTAAGAGCTTGTCAAATGCCTCATTCAAGACAAGGGCTGGAATCAGTGTCTGGTGGCCTGTGTGTCGGTCTGCCAACTCCTCTGTGCTAAGAGCAACAATAACAGACCCCTGCTGACATCAACTGGCTTGGAATGCAGTTGTTGCTAATGCTATTTTATCTGTGGAGTGATGGCAAGATTGCAGTCTGAGATCTCAGCAAACGTAACTGCCTCTGAAATTCTGATGGCAGCAGATGCTGCCTGGCTGATTGCTCCATTTGCTGTTCCCCAAGGTGCCAGGCTCTGGAAGGAGAGCTGGGACTTTGCAGGCCTGCAGTTCTGTTCACTTTCCCCTTCAGGAAAAACAGCTTAAACTGTGGGAAAGTTAGGAATGGTTAAATCAGTAGAAATTTATTTTTTCTTTTCCTGTGAATTAGACTGAAGTATTCTCTTAAGCAAAGCTGCTTCCTGCTACTCTATCCAGAATGATTTAAATTGCACAGAACCACAGTGGTGTATCAGCAGCAAGAAGCAGCTGTAGTTCTGCAGGAAAAGGAATTCACTGCCCAACAATATTTCACAGATCTCTTCTGTTTCTAAATCTATTTTACAGCAGAGCAAACTGAGACACAAGAAAGTTATCCACAGACATTCAGAAAGCTGCTGGCAGAATTTACCTGGAGCCTGGGAATCCTGATGTCTGTCCCTGAAATTAACCCATGGCACCTCTGGTCACTGTTATCCTTTTGCTGAATATGGGGTTATCCCAGGAGCATTGAAGCTCTGTTTTGATAAGGTATGATGTAGATTTAAGTACAGGTCTAAACTTTGGAAAGTGTGTAAATTCGGGAAGAGGCACTGTTAGTCAAAACAGAACTAATTAATTAAGGTTAATTGTGTTCAGTTATATTTGACCCATAGAGGAAAATGTTAGGACTTTCACTTAAAACCTAACAGGAAACACATTAACCCTTTGGCCCTCAGAGGAACGTTAGGAAAAAAGGCTAAGAGGGAATTAGGGGACCCCCTCCTTAGGCTGGGAGGGGTGCACTCCCTGAAACTGGAAATTTCAGGCAAAACCATTCACAAGAACATTCCTGCTCCAAGTGTGCAGAGTTGTGTTTGTAGAACACTTTCTTCTCACTGACCCAGGGAATGGCACCGACATGAGGCAGGCAGGAACTCAGCCTGTGGCCAGCTGAGGGAGAATTGATTTGCTGTGAGTTTCGTAGCACTTCCTATGGATTAAGGGTCGCTGGATTGCAGTCCTGCTCCTGACTGCGGAGCACTGTCTGTCTCAGCTGGCTCCAGGAAATGGACGCTCTTCCGCAGAAGCCAGGAGATTTCGTGGAAGAGCCGTGGCCCCTTTCCAGCTGCAGCTCACCCACTGCCCTGGGGAGTGCCATTAGTGGGAGGGAAGTGACGTTGGGATTTAAAGGGACGAGGAGGGGAGAGAAAAAATAAAGCGGGATGGAGAAAAATCCTGTCAGCTCTTACCAAGCACAACTTGCTCGACCACATTAAAATGTTGTGCTGATCATTTGAATAAAACAATGGGCCAGCTCCAGAAGTGATGTGTAAATCACATACCAGGAACAGAGTTTCAATTGACTGGCACACTGAAAGCAAAATCAATGGCACTGACTTCACTGTGGGGGAGTGATTCAAGTTACACTGCCTCTTTTGTTGAGCTTGTAATGAGGACTCATTCTCCTTTATTTCATATCTTTCTCAATTTGCATTGCAATGTGAAATGAAAATCATGGGGTCATCTTTTGAAGGTCTGATTTTTTGTGTGTGTGTGTGTATATATATAAATCACAAGGTCATATGTACATTTATATGTTAATATATATACAATAGTGCAAAGCTGTCTTAATTTTTTCTGTAACAGATTGCTTTGTGTGCAGCTTCGCAGTGGTAAAATAGCTGTACCACCAGGAGTATTAATAATGCTCTGTGGGCATATGGAAGATTGGAGGTACAAACTTATCAGAAAATCCTCAGTAATCTCCAAAGCACATTTCCACCATCCCAATCACTTCATTTTTACCCACTATATGAAACAGATGTAAAAATAGCTCTTTCATCAGTGGATTGCTACACATATTTGGACTGCAGAGGCTCAGTTCTGTTCAAAGCAATACTGTGAAATCGTGTGCAGAATGTGCTG